GTTTCAGTCGGCTACCTCCAGGAATTCCAGTAGGGAAGCCTCAGGAATTTTCTCTCGTTTTCCTTTTTCTCCTTTGGCCGAGTCGTATCGCGCGGTCTTCACTCCTATTTCCGTTGTTTCAATGTACACCGAACGAAACCTGAATGCAACCCAAAATTCGTCGATCGGAATTTCTGGACTTTCAACAATAGAAGCTAGATCGTAACTTATGAAACAAAGAATGGCCTGAATTATGGGTGTGGGTGGAAGTGTGGGTGGAATCGCGAGATACGGAACACGACACGCGTGGATATCGTCGATGGACATCTTTCGAGGTGTGCTCGGTAAGGAAAAAGCGTATATTAAGCAGGACAATGCAAGTTGTATCGAACGCAGCAAGTATTTCCGTCGTACAGGGAAAAAAAGCAGAGGAGAACGACGGTCTACCGAATAGAGAATCGTTCCACGACCTAATTCCGCGAGCGCATCGCCCGGTGAAGGGGGCCTTTTACCTCGTTACGGAGCGGACGAGCCCGACGAATATTTTCGTCGATTAATTCGGCCGATTATGACGTTCAATTACAAAGCTCGCGATAATCGCGTGCGCTGCCGAACGGGTACAACGCTCGAGATTGCGTAATTATTACGAGGTCGTCGAAGGTTAATTAACGCGACGGACGGTGGCGCGCGATACGATCGCCACCGACGACCGTTCTTCTTCAAAGAGGCGACCAAGGGGCCTGAGTCGAGACTATCAATTATCGATATCCTACAGATACTCAACGATACACCGATACCATCGTCCAGATATCAATAAGTCGAACTGAGAGTCGATCACACCCCGGAACTGAAAGATAGCTCATCTTTTTTGAGAAAATTGATTTGAAATTTAATTTGGATGAATCTGACCGTCTCGGTACAGGTGATTCATAGCAATAATTATTAAGCTAATTTGAAAAGTGTCCAGAGCTGACTTTAACCAGCTTCGTCACAGAGACGTTTGCGTCTAAGAAGCCCCTGTTCGTCTCGAAAACAATTGGATTAGTCTAAGGTCGGGACGTCCGATGAAATCAGCCGATTAACGGCCACCGTAGTTCGCGTATCGAGACTTGGACGCCCGTTTGAAAAACAAGTAATTTTTCTGGTCGCCGGCACCGGTGTACGGTTACTCGTGTACGTTTACCTCTGGCGACGCAGATAAAATTTCGCGCGGACACGCGTAATTCGATTGATGACATGTCGCGTGTATCGGATTCCATGTAACACTAGGCTCCGGCGTGTACGCGAGCTGCGCCCAGCTGCCGCTGGCTTCCGACGCGGTCGTGCCTTCTCCCCGGCAATTAAACAGAGATTAAGCGACCTCAGATCTCGCGATAACGTTAAATCGCATAGGCGCGCGCGTTTCCCGACTGCCAGGTATTCGGTTGCGAAATTATACGATGGCCAATCATGGTAAACGAACACTTGCATCGATGACCAAGTCCCTTTCCATATTTCTTTGAAACTCGTCGATAAAATTTATGATAATAAATGTAAAATTCTTTTGCGTTTCTGTCGAGATCATCGTGACACGATCCAGCTACTTTCTTCCTCCATTTGCATCTCGTTGCGATAATAAAAAGCGTCAGGATATTGCGTCTGGTGCCGTTTAACACACTTTCGAGCGCGGCAATCTTCTGTAAAAATGTCTCAAGAGTAGTTGAACGCACGTTTCCTTAATTCGCCGTGAAAATTCCGTATTTATTCATCCTGTTCTGCATACTATTGCCGATATGTTCCAAGGCGAGCAGCAAGAACGGAAATATGGAGTATCCAGCGTGGAAAAAGCCCCGGTAGCCAGCTGTTGGCTGGTCGTACATCAATGATGGATAGAAACGCGACAGCCTCGATCGTTTTACTCGATTCAGCTGCCGTTTCTTTCCGAATGTGTTTTACGTTCCTATCGTACGGATTCTCGGTCGCGATTTTTTTTTCTCTACCTCCGAGAAACCGATCCATCGGTAGAATTTTAACACGCGACAAGAAACGATACACGTCGATCCGGCGAACGATGCTAACGAGGTCCGAGAAGAGCATCGAAACCGGATGCAAAGCAAATGTTAATCGCACTTTGATGGGCTACGCGTGGAGTTATTCGCCCGGGGATTTCCTTTCACGCGATCAAACTATCGCTGCGGATATCTGCAAGGCATTTCCCGCGAGAAGATGTACCTTTGTTGGCCCCGAGTTGTTTCCGTTATCCGTAGAGGATAAAAGCTGTCGGAAAGGAAGCATCGCCGCATCCTCCCTGCGGTCCAAACCTCTCCTCGTGCAACTTACCACCTGTTGTTGCACATGACAAACATTTTAGATACTCCCGTTATTCTCGCTTTTCGCAAAAACCAAGTTGCACACAGCGAGGAGTGAATCGAACGCGTACGCAATAATTTATGGGGAATCAGCCGGGGAAAAGAACAAATGCAAAACTGGAACTCGAACAGCGTTCCAGCGTCGTGCAAAACAACATGTCGCCTTCGCGATTCCGGGAGGCCGTCCAGGCGATCCAAGGACGTGCAATCTTTTCCAGCTAATCGAATCGAGCTTAGGAAAGTGTCACGCGTAGAGAATTCTCTGTTGCACGCGACCAAGGATAACGCTACACGGCATTCTGTTTCGTACAGTTCGGCAAAGGATCGCGCGGTCTCGATGCACGCTCCAGTTTCCGGTTCGTTAAACGGTCGTCTTTTATCGAGTCCGCCGTGGTTATTCTTCATTTTTTCCAGCGAGTCGCGCAAACCCCGTTACGACCATTAGATAAGGTAGGGTCAATTTCGCGAACGAGCACCGACGAGGATCGTGCAGCGAGAAATTCGCGTGGGGCAAATCGTTGGCAAATAACGGGGGACCCAGAGGTAATTGTGCAACGATCCGTATTCGACCGGACGACCCCGAGTTCCGGGGTTATCTAATACGAGAAAGTGAGCCCCGTCACCTTCAATTTCCCGGTCGCGATCCCAATTTTCAGCGTTCCTACGCGGAACAACCGCCACTTCCGGTTTCACCCTGAACTTGGATCCCTGGACCAGTTTCAAGGTAGTCCAACGAGTCTCTGTCGCACGAATACTCCTATTTTCTAATTATAAGCCTGCTTTGATCGAAAGATGGCGTTCTTACGGGGAGAATTGTAATCAGAAATAAAAGAACAGACCGGAAAATGTATGAAAGTTCGAAAAGCGAGAGTCGAGAGATGCAGAGCGAAAAGGAAATGCGAGAGACGAACGTAATACCGTATAAAAATTACGGTATCTCTGTAATTCTATGCAATTAAATAAAACTTACGACACGTTGAGCGCTGCTTACGCGGATAATTGTCAAATCGCGAATGGGTTTTGCTCCGGTTGTTTTGAAAATCGCTCGAGCGATCGGACCGCGATTTGTCACCGGTTCGGATTGGGACATCAGCTGCTCGAGCGAGTTTACGATAGTTTGAACGCGTCGACGATGGAATGGAAAACAAATAAATGTCGGTGTACGCGAGGTTGCTTAAACGCGGCCGCGTGCCTCGAATGCTCGGGCGTCGTTTAAAATTCCGCGTGTGCCCGCGCCCGAGCACGTACAATTCGACCAGCGACGCTTTTGTTTAACGCGCGATATTAAAGAAAGTGAAATGTGCTTGAATTATGTATACCTACGAAAAAGAAAGTTGCCGCGTACCAGGCCCCTATTGAACCGTATCGATTCGCGAACTTCTTACATCCAAATCACGGACTGCCAAGTTTCCATCTCTCGATCGGGGGGGGGGGGACTCGTTGCGATCGTTTTCGTTCTCTCGCGTTGACTGCCACGACGGTCACCGGTGACCGGTACTGATACTCTTTTTTTTTTTGTAATTTAAACGTCGAATATTTCTGGAATTTCAGGAGGTATCTGTAGAAATTGAAAACTGGCGTGGGAGTCAACGCGTTAAGACCGTCTTACGTAATCGGTGGACTTTCAAACTATACTTTCGAGGAAGCACCTGGACGAAGAAGCGTTCGAAAATTAGATTCGCGGTATTTTTCACCTCGAGGTCTCTTGGGTAGAAAAATTTTAATCGTAAATATCTAGAAATGTATATAGAAGAATGCGCAGTTAGATAAATATGACAATTAAAAATATAGTCGATAGCGAATCGATCAAGATTAGTTGCGTAGATAAAATATCTAAAAATGTCAATATATTTAAAGATACACGTAACTTATATTACATGGATCTGATTACGTTTTATTCTTCTTCCTAAGATACACACCCGCATAGCTTTAGGTATTTATTATTGTTATTTATGTACCCAAGAGGATCGAAATTAAAACGTTATTTTGCGCGCGAAACGACGAATTTCGCGAAGCACGTAATTGGTTACGTTTTCATGAATGAGAATCGTCCAGCGTGTTAACAATTACGTGTTCCATTGACATAAGAACGATCAGGCTTTCCACCAGATTACATTCAAAGCTCTAATACTTGAATCTACCGATGCAAAGTGATTTTATTAAAATTTGTCTCGGTTAGGGTGGTTTTACACACCAAATAGAGATACACATCTGCTTGAAATTTACCCTACCAAGGTTGATGGTTCATAATATATAAAGCAATCGTTATTACCCCAACAGCTGATCGTTAATAATCCTGACAGCCCACTCCTCTCAAGTTTAACCTACCATTTTTCACATTTAACATGTTTCAAGGTACTCCCCAATTATGGTAATTACAAGGCTGGTTTTCCTCCGCGAAGTTAGCAACGAACGTATAAAATTACGTAATTCCGACTCACCCTACGCGAAACAAAAATATACGGTGCGACCCTACCAGGCAGGGCTAGTCTCGCATTATGATTCAACCCTTTCGTCGCGACAGGGTGAGTACGAATAAGAACTGTGCAGCACGAGATACTGTGGGAGCAGCTAGAGGGTCGCAATTCGGCTGAAATAATTCGTCGTATCGCGCCGGAGCGATGATCCGTAATAAATAAGAACTCAAAAGATTAAAAATAATCGATGACTCACTTTGGGCTTCTCCCGTTTCCTCTTAATGATGAGTCCGTCGTTCTCGATATAATCGGGCACGTCCTTCCGGTTACTGAAATTGAACACCATGGTGTTGTTCTGCTGGTTCCACGGCTTCGTTTCCCACAGTCCACCGCCCCCTGTGCCGGTCTTCTTCGGGGGCTGGATCTCGTCGGCGCTCTTCAGGCTGACCACCACCTTGGTGGGCTGTTCTATGCTCTTCACGCGATTTATCAGATTCTTCTCCAACTCCCGATTGCTCAAATTCTGCTGCAGATGCTGGGTCTTGGTGGACACCAGCGGTCTGATGATGCCTATTTGCTTCTGAGGTGGCGACTCGCTGGTTTTCTGGCATCTTATCGTCTTGGACTCGTTGATCTGCGGATAGGAGGCGGTGGTCGACGACTTGATCAACCCCAAGCTGCATATAGCCCCGATCGGTTTGTTGCTCTCGACGATCGGCTTCGGTTCAACGTCCTCCTTGGGGTCCTCGATCTTCCTGTCGCACTTGTCCGGCTCTAGCCTCTCCTGGAGCCTGGATACAGCCTCCTGGTCCACCGCAACCACGTTCGTCGAATCCTCCCCGGCTAGAAACGACTTCCCTCTGGGCTCCGTGGAGTTGTTGGTCTCGTTACGAACGTCCGGCTGCTGGTCGTCGGTTGACTTCTGACCGTTCTGCTTGTACCCCGGCAGGTAGCTCTTCTCCAAGCTCGGTTTGTCGCTGAAGCTGAACTGCATCGTGACCCCGGTCCTCGCGATGTTCTCCAGCGCCGTTTTCGAGATGGTTTTCGGCGCGTCGACCTCCTCCTCCGATGGTTGACTCTCTTCGCTGGGGGCGAGGTCCTCCACCAGGGACTTGGACTCCTCTGGCGCGTCTCGACTCGTAGGGCTGGGCACCCTCTCGGGCAACTGTTGTCTAGGATGCTCGGTGCCGTTGTTCATCGTCGTCGGCGTCTCCTCCGTCTGTGGCCTCGGTGGCTTCGGTGTCTCCGGCGAGGACATTTGTTTGAGCAGCTCCCTGCTGGGACTCGCGGGTGGCTTGTGGTGCACGGGGCTCGAGTTCCGTCTGGGCGGGTCCTTGATCGGTGACGGAGGGCTGTGCACGTACTGTCTGAAACCGGTGTCCTTCATCGGCGACGACGGACTCTGGAGCCTCGGGGAGGCTATTCTGGGGGAGAGGACAGGCGTGACGGGCGGTGACTTGACGTTGATCTCGAGGGAGGATTTCAATTTGCTCAACGGCGGTTCCGGGCTGGCCACTGGGGAGAACTTGAGCTTGAAGGACGGCTCCGGCGAGGGCGAGGGCGAGTGAGACTTCTCGATCTGCTGAAACTTGCTGACTACGGAGGAGACCGACTGCACGATGGGATCGGTGATCACGCCGTCGATGTGGTACTCCTCCTGGCCCAGCTGGGTCTCGATCAGCTCGGCGGTAGGCTTCTGCGGCAGGACGATCTTCTTTGGCGAGCCAGGAGCCGGCCTCGAGTTCCCGTTTACGAAAGGCTTCGGCTGTACCGGCGGTTTCGCCACGATCTTCTTCTGCGCCTGGGCCTTGAATGTGTCGTTTATGGTCTTGAAAGTGGCTACCTTGGCGGCCACCTCGCCCCTCGGTCTCAGCTTCTTCGCGGAGCCCTCGAAGATCCTCATGGTGGTCTTGACTAGATCCGGCGGTGGCCTCTCGGTCTCCGCCAGCAACGGTTTGATCCTCTTCGGCTTGTTCACCGGCTTTGGCCTGTCCAGCTCGTTCAATCGACTCTCGATCTTCACCGTTGTACGATCTATCAGGATTATATGGTCGTTGGCCAGCTCTTGCTTCAAACCGTTCGCCGCCAAGCGGCCATTGCCCGGGTCCTCGGTGCCGTTGCACCTCATCAGAGTCTCGACGCTTCTGGCACGTTTCATCGATTCGTTGCCTCGCGAGGCGTTCCTGTACCTGTCCGTTTTCGCGCTGGCACCGGTCGTCGCTCTTTTCGCGTACTTTCTCGCGCTCTTCTCGCCCGGCTCGTCGTCGCAATCCAACAGATCCTCGAGGCTGGCCGCGCGCCGGAAACGCTGCACCGTCGCGCGGCTCTTGTTCATCTCTCTCAAAGTGAGGTTAAGGTACTTGCTTTTCAGTTTGTTCACGATCCCCGGCCCGTACTGTAGCTCCTCCGAGCTGTCGCTCTCCCCGTCGTCGCTGGCCGCTCGGTTCCTCGACATTTCCGCCTTGGTTCGCGACAGTTCCGCGAGTACGTCCCTCTCCGCTTTGTTGTTGTTGTTGCCGGTCCTACAGGTGGAGGATCCCGTGCGGTGCTCGTCGCATCCGGTCGGAGGGTCGACCATTCCCTTCGAGTCCTCGTTCTCGGATCCGTCGCCGTGTTCCGATTTACGTTCCATGTCCGTTGTCGACGATTTGCTCAGCGTGCCGTTCGCGACATCCTCCGAGTCGGAGCAGAGCGATAGATCCGCCTCGAGACGCATGTTGCACGCGACTGTCGACGGTTGGTTGTTGGCGGCGGTCGTTCCGCTGGCGACAGTGGCGCCACTGGCCGGTCCTCTCGAGAAAAACGGAGAAGACGACACAACGACACCGGCTATGGCGTTTCCACCGCCGCTGTTAACGTTCCCGAGCGATATATTCGCGACACTGTTGACGCCGATGTTGTCCTCCCCGATGGACGTTGATCGCGGTCTGGACAACGGACTCCCGGCGGCGCATTGATCTTGAACGCAATACGTGTCGATGGATTCCGTGGTCGCGGACGATCCGATCATCGCCGTGCATAGTTTCACGCTCGCCCCGTTGCTCGCGAGAACCTTGCTCTGCTGTCTACGCCGTTGAATCAAGTCCCTTTTCCACTGGGGCACGGCATTGTTGCCGCCCGTTTCGCCGGCGCTGGTCGTCGCGTTGCTGGCGGTAGCCATGTTGGACGCGCGATGGGCGCGTTCGCAAACGCGGGGCCGATTCTCCACGAGCGGTTCTCCCCTCTCGGTTCGTTCGCAGATTCCGTCGATGGGTATATATCACACGATTAGACGCGACCCACGGATTCCATCGCGATCGCACGACAATTCATCCCGCGATCGCGGATACGGCCGGCCGATGACCGATTGTCGAAAAATCGATGCACGCGAGACGCGACATATACGGTTATCGCGCGCGCACGAGGTTGACAGTAGGCACGTTTATCTCGTTCCTCGTGCCTCGCGAGACACGGAACGCCCGTGGTCGTTGAACGGTCGTTGAACGGTCGTCGCCGGGGATCGTAACGACGCGACGGATCGATACGAGACGATGAAAGAATCGAGAAAGGCACCTGTTCCGACACACGCATCCGAACGTACACACCGCGCACAGAACTGACAGGACGGGAGCACGGTAACTCTCGACGTACCGTCCGCGTACTATTTCACTCCATGGTTAACTATCGTGTCCGCTTCCTGGTGCAGCGTGGTGGCCGGCGAAGCAAAAGGCTCGCCAATCGCTGGAAATCGAAAGTACCAACCCGTGAGCACGCACTCACGCACGCACTCGCCGCGCACCCACACGAAACGCCGACGAAAGGCGAGCGCACGGCCGTCCTCGCTCGTTCGCTCGCACTCCGCTCCTGCCCCTGCCTGTCTGCTCGAGAGAGAGATATCCTCTCTCTCCCTCCCATCTCCAATGCACCAGCCCCCTCGCGCTGCACGCACGCCAAAACCCATCCGACCCCTCTCCACTCGCCACGCCGCTCCCCTCGCCCCTCGTTTCCTTTTGCGACTGCTCGATCCGCCACCGTGACGTCACGCCATGGACCGAACCGCTCCTATCGAATGCCACAAACTAATATCGAAATCGCACGCTCCCTGTTACGAGGGTATATCGCGATCAGACCCTCGCTTCCTGTCCACCGGGAAATACGAAATACGAAGGGATGCCCACTCCGATGGCCCTGATACTCTTTATTGCTTTTCCACTCTAATCTTTATTGATGTTTTCAAACACTATCTGCGAGCTGTTAAAAAATTCTGTTTTGTTACGCTGTTCGTACAATTTCAGCGTCTAATACGCTCTGAAAATTCTCGATTGAATTCGAGACTGTTAAAAAATTCTGTTTTGTTACTACGATTATCCGACGAGACCTCGGGAACTAATACGCTCTATAAACTCTCGATTGGATTCAAATCTAGCTTCCGGAAGCTATTTATATAGACTCTCCAGGGAAATAAATTTTAAAAAATGGCGGCGCTCGATACGGAATATACGATTCTCGCGCACGACTTTGGATCATTCGTTCGAGACGAAAAATAATGTGCAACCAGTTTGAAAAATTAGGTGTCTAGGAAGACGATTTAAAGTTTCAGGTAGTAATAAGAGCTGCCCGTAATTAATCTCCTATTCCAGCGAGGCAGTCCTTCCTCCTTCTCAAAGCTACTCATTTAGAGCCTCTTGTCCTTCTCCGCGTGCAGTCTTGCTTCTTCAGACCTCTCGGACCTCTCGTAAATCACATCTTGATAGTTTTCCAACCGTCGCGATGCACGCTGTATGCGTTTGCTCGCGGTTCAAATTTCAAAAACGTATCACCATCTTCTAACGATCTGTAACCAAAATCGCTCATATTAAAATGCAAATCAATTTAAAACCAACCGTGTAGAAATAATTTCGACCATGTAATCGGTAAGAAAATCTGAAATAAATTTCCGTTTCTTCTTTCTGGCTTTAAAAAAAAAAAAAAAATTGTCGAACGATCCGTTGGTTGGGCCGCGATTTATCGCGTCCCCGTACCCTTTATCGCTAAACGGACTGTATGAAAAAAAAAAATGTAACACGTGTCGAGCACGTTTAGAGCGAAGGGGAAGCGCATCCGGCGGACGATAATAACGAGTACGAGAAAAACAGGACGGATCCGAGAATCGGTACGAACGATGACCCAAAACATGGAATTCCGAGCACCCGAGGCGTTTCCTCGTGTTCCGTGACCCACGGAGTCTGCCTCGGATTGTTAGTTCGTTACACGCTAAACGCGAAATGCTTGCACGCGGTTGTTATTCCGTTATATAGACGGTTTTATACACGCGCGAGGTTATGCAGTCCCGACTGGTTCGTGAAATAGTTCGCTTCCGGTTACCCGGCGCTCGTACCGAGGCGCGTAAACGTTTCTGACGACTTTGACATTCGCTAGACGAAACAAAGAACCTTCGATCGTTCCTGCAAACATTGACCTTCGGTGTCGTGCTTAGTCATTTTCGCGCTCAAGGCTGGAATGCCTACTTTCAGATACACGTAGAGTCAGAATTGTATAAATCCTTATTAGAACAGCATTCCAATAGAGATTCGTTCGAATAAAATTTTATTCTTTTGCAAGGTGAAGAATAAATTCGATGTCGTTCGAATAACGATTAATACTAATAGGAGATTAATTACGAACATAACGTGAGAATCGAATTAGTTCGCGTTATCAGAATAAAAGCGATCGTCGTGGATCGAATTAGAAGCGTTATCAGGATAAATCCCTTATCGATCGCCAGGAGCGAAACTATTGCGAAACGATCGATCGATTAAAGCATAGCTTCGAGCGTTGCGCTTCTCGATTCTTCTCGAAGGGAAAGTAAATCATCGAGGAGTCTTTGTATCGAGATCAATGCCTTACCGAGATCGCGTAACTGCGCCACGATCGACAGCGGATCTCGAATATATCGACCGGATCGCTCGTTATCGCCGAACGATCCGCAATGGTCGATAATTATCGACAAAAATGGTGAAAGGTACGATTCGATGAAATTGTAATTCCTCGTAGGTTTTACCGAACTGTTTTCTCGTGGTTGCGATAGTCGCGCGTGCGCGAATATTCATATATGTATGAATGTTAATAACACGAGAAACTAAAGTTAATTACTAATTATGACACGAAGCGTGTCTTGTACGAATGAAAGCGAAGGAAGCGAATCGTGCTTCACAGAGCATCGTAAGCTTCATCGAATCATAGAAATGCCTATGAACGATTAGACGGAACGCGTACGATTTATGCAACTATTTACCATGATCCAACGAGCAATGAAATGTATTCGCGTTATCGACAAATCTGGAATGCGGTTTTAATAATATTTTTTTTTTTCACGGATCGAAACTTGGTTGTAAATTGGCGCAAAGTAGTTCGTCAGTTGTGCAACGGTTCTTTCTCTTCGATATTAACATTAATATTTCGATTCGCGGCCCGTACTGTCGATTAATCGTTACGTGGACGGAACGTAGACGATCCACCGCGGAAGAATAAAAATTGTTTCTCCATTGTATAATGCATTTTGTGTAGGCAGTATCGCGAGGATGTTGTGTTCTCCAGATGTACACGGAGATAGTAGCTGATAAAATATAAACCCGAAAAGTATGCGTATTGGTTTGGTAGTCGAATGTGTTCGAAACACGTACTGCATACTCGATTCGACGTAGTACGCACACGGAGTAACATACAGTTTGCGTTCGCAAGAGACACGAGGTAATATGGCCGCCAGTCCGCGACGCGTACGGAACCAGTTCCAGAAAGAAACCGGTTCCGAACTAAAAGAAACTGGAAGAAACTAGTTTCCATTGGTTTTTCGGCCCCCCTGTGAGACCGTGCCACGACCGAGATTGGCACTCGTGCTGGACTTCTCTCGGAGATTGGAACGGAGGTTATGTTACTAGTGCACGCTAATATGGCAGATATTACGGAGCAGAAAGGTAAGAAAAACTGTTCTCGAACATGGCCAGATCGTATAATTGAGCTACCTTTTGCCTGAGTTCTCTCCTACTTTGACCGCTCGACGTTCACGTTGTTACATGTTTCGAAGGTTGCACGGTAAGCGCTACAAGCACGCGATAAGCGTCTAGACGAATCTCCGATCGTTTCCGCGGGAATTTCGAACGACGTCGATAGCTCTTGCCCGAATAGTTTTCACAGAATCACGTAACCTTTCCATAAAGAAACTTATTTCATTCGTCTGACCTTGATAACACATGGTATAAGCTTGAACCACTTTAACGTGTAAATGTATTCTTAAAAGGGACAATGCTCGACTCACAGATGGAAATCAAGGTGGAACAGCCGCCGATACAGTGTTACGTCGAGGAAGAACACGAAAATGGTTTTCCCGGTTTCGACAATGGCACGATGCCGTCCAGCGCCGCTTTGAATTTATGGACCAGCAAAGCCACTGCTTGTCTCATTAGCCAATATAAAAAATATCGATCGATGGTGGGTCAATCGACGCAGATCAGAAGCCTGCGCGAAATGTTCGAGATGATTTCGCACCAAATGCAAAACTACGGGTTCTACTTCAGTCCGCAGAAGTGCGAAAACAAATGGCGCGTACTCGAGCGTAAGTATAAGAACCTTGTGTTCCGCAAACGCTTGAAGAAACCGGGTAGAATGAGGCATTACGGTCACTGGGAGCACAAAAGAGCACTGGACGAAATCTTTAACGAGAAGAACCGGCACATGTATTTCGAAGAGAACGACATGTCGCCGGCCGAGGCCGCTAAGTACGCGTTTATTTTACCGAAACCGGCGACCGAGGAGCAACAGAGCAACACCATCGATCGACAGCAACTGGAAGACCCTCTCGCGGCAACTGCACCGAACTACACGTCGAACAATAGAAACGACGAGTCGGACTTGAAGGATACATGGACCATGCTCGTCGAGAGATTTCTCGACGAGATGTCCAAGAACTTCGCGATCGCGGAAAAGAACAAAGAGAAAAGGCACAAAGAGGAAATGGCAATGAGGCAGAACGAGTTGGAGGTACAGAAGAGGCTTTTAAAGTTGAAGGAGCAAAAACTAGAGTTACAAAAGAGTCAAATTATCGCCGCTGCTCAGCATCTACATTTGAACATGTAATGAACGACGCGTTAATGACTTAGTTTTAAGACAAGAGCGACTCTACGGTTTATGTAAATGAGATAACTTGGGGGCATTATTGCCCGTATGCACTGATACAGTGCAGGATAAAATAAATTGTAATATGTAATAAATACTTCTTAAGAATATGAAACCTGATTGGAAACGTTTTGTACGGATAAATTGTAACACAGTAATATAATTACTTGCATATAAAGATACTCAAATATAACCACGATGAGTAGATTTTCTGTGTCATTTTTGTTATATAGCCACAGGTGAGGTACACAAATAGGTGTTGCAGCCAATGTATTTCGCCATTACCGTTTCGGTGATATTTGCAACCTTACCAACGGGCTATAGAAGACGACCATGGGCGCTTACTATGGTAGAAAATGAAATTGGAGGAATTCCATTATTTTTTAACGAACTAGACCTTCTTTTCTAACGAGTAGACCTTTCACCCAATGTATTTTTCGGCCCAATTTTATGGGGCTCTAGAGCCATTACCAGTTACAGGTTACTCGCAACGTTACCAACAGATTTAGAAATGAATTTCAATCCTTCCCCCATAGTCAACTCGCATGCATTTACGTACACGTTACAACTGGCTGCCTATCAACACTAATTCAGTGAAGTTTCTCACCTGACCGCCATCCACGAGGAGAGGACGCCAAAATCACCTCCGAATTTTCAGGTCGGTACACGTAACCTCGTCTGTGCTATGCAGTAGCGACCTCCATTGCTAATGTTCCATGTTTGAATTATAGTTCTATGTCTTGGACGCTAGGTGACACAACTGACTCTACTAGCGGCAATCGCATATTAATTAAAATAGCACAGTGTAATTGCATCTTAGACGCAAGTAATTGAGAAACAATGCTGCTATAAAGAAACGTGTTATAGCAGCAGAAAATATTTCATCAACATTGTATATAGGCTCATGGTACATTACATAAAGTCTACTACAATATTAGAATATTGTTTTGAAACTGAATTTCTGTACACCTAATTTAGCTATAAATAAAAACTGTCAGCGAATCAGGGATATTTTAACTATATGAAATAAGTATCGCAGCATTTTGAATGGTACCACTGAAAAGGAGAAGCGGGATTTGGTGGCTTTTCCTTTGGAATGGTTGCATCAATAAAATCATCATTATTTTTGAGCGATTTTATTAAGTTTATCATGATTTTAATCGATACAGTGATTCCTGTGGTATACTGTCGCGCGCATCGAGACGCGACTTCAACTTTCTTTCCAGCTTTCGAGGAATATCTCATTCGCCGTAATTATCTCTACAAAAAAAAATGAAAGCAATTCCGGTAAAATGTAACCTGAATCGCTCATCACGATAGTCGTATCGTTTTCGATAACCGAGCGGCGGGAATTGAATTTCGCCTCCTTTTTAATAAGGCTACTCGTCAAATACACCGGAAAAGGGGAAAAGGAAGTAGAAATCTCGTCCCGATGGTGGAAAACATAAATGCAGTAATAACCAGCGTCGGCGTGCGCCTCGTGTGAATTTCATGGCTGATCTTTTTTCTGTGACGGTTATCTTAAAGGAAACTGGACCGATCGGAGAAAAAGGATCGAGCGGATAGGGTGGGTGGGAGGGGAGCGAGGAATATGAATATATAATATCTTATATCGTGTATCCATAAATGTTAAACGTTATTTCTTATTCTTTCTTTTCGTCGTCGTATCGACTTCGTATTCTTTTGACTCGTTTTCACTTCTTTTATTAAATGTTAGGTAGAGCTTATAAGGGACGCCTAAAGGCGCACTCACAGGCGAACTTCAGGCGCTCTTTTGTCGTATACTAGCTGTGCCGAATGCACTTGTACTGGTCGCACAATTGGCGAAAAGATCGGCTGAAGATCGGCTCCTGAGATCGAAACATCGAAATTCGCCTCTGGGACTTGTAAAACGATTCTTATTCGATAACGAACAAAGTGAAATGTTAAAAATTTGGGCACGGAGAAACGGATCGAGGGATCGTGTGTTACGTAAAAAAGAAATAAAACGAATACGTACTCGAAGAACAATTGCCCTCAGTAGCCGATCTTCAGCCTAACGTTTCACCCGCGACATATTATTTAACAACAGAATTTAACCACCTAATCTTCCGGAGGATACTCGTAATTCTCACCTTCGCCTCGCCTTCGTTTATACACAATAAATGGATATCTTTTTTTTTTTTTCTTTCGTCTACGTGCTAAATCGTCGAGCCGCAATCCATTACAATAAATCGTCGACAATCCGATAATCAATAATAAATCGATAGAAATCACCTAGCTTTCGATCGACCATCGTCCGCCCTTTAAAAGAACCCGCGCTTAACGAAGGTGTGGGGGGGCACGATAATAAATTTCAATAATCCATAATGTTAATAATCGCCGTCGATGTGATAATAATACAATTGCAATTATCACGATGCGAGAGCCCGCAAATGTCAATAATAATAATAGTCATAACGGCAATAATAATAATAATAGCAATAATAATGATAGTAATAATAGCGACAATAATAATAATGAAATAAAACTTTTTTGTCCTACGAGTTAGCATCGTCGTTACAATGATGTACTTAGCCGTTACAGTTCTGCCTATTTACTATTCTCTTTTATATACTTCTATATGTATAGCTACAATATATAATATTTCCATGTTGAAAAATCGTATACATTAGTGTTGTGTCGCAGGACCATTGCTTCGTTTCTGTTCTGTTTCCCGTTCGTACATACTCTTCTCTCTCGCTTTTATATCATTTTGTCACGTTTTCACTAATATGCTCTTTCTAGCTTTTGTCGTTTCGTTTCTTTCGGCTATCTTCGCTCGATGGGACGCTGAGAGGGGAAAAGGTGGCGTCGATGCACAGAAGCGTTCACGCTTTGTTCTCGTACAACAGCGTCGAAGAAAAAGGGAAAGAGACGAGCGATAAAAAGACCCAGAGGCTTTTTACTCGTCGCGGGGATACCGTCTAATTTCGCGGGGGGCGACGCGACTTCGATTAGGTCGTTAGCCCTCGATCGGTAACCCGGAGTCCTCCGCGGGAACGTGAACGCTTCTCGCTTGAAGAATATCTATTACATAACGTTAATAGCTTAATATCGACTTGTTTTTTTTTTTTTTCAATTTTCTTTTTTTCTTTTTTTCTTTTTTAGTTCGTATTACCCGCCCGGGTATGGGCGAGCCTCGGATCACAGATAGTGAGGTGATCGGATTGCGCGAGCATTTTCACGATACATCTTTACGGTCTTACACATATGCGTTTTTTTTTTCCTACATCGTACCGACTCTCGTAATTGTCTGTTTTGCGTTTCTTCTTGCGATTCCTCTAAGTATTTCAAGGCGACAGCTCCTGAAAGCAAACAGCACCGGCCGTGTACCGCGAACGTGAATCACAGTCGCGCGAACAACCGAGCAAAAATTTGTTCCCCCGACTCGTCCCCCGAACCAATTCCTCGTCGTTTCGTGCCAATTACGGACGATCGTGTATCGTCCCTGTCCTGGAAATGATTTTGTACCTTTCCGGCGACTGTTCATGCACGCGGCACGGTTGAAAGGAAACTTGGTCGGAACGCAATCCTTACGTCTCTGGCCAGTTCATGGTTGAAAGTTGTCATCGTGACGGTGACACACGGATTATACAGATACGAAAGTATAGAATATATATATTTTTATACACATGTATACGTATACACAATACATATGTACCTACGTACGTACGACCAACTAAGGGTAGACAGGCGCAATCGTATAATTCAAGCGTCAAATCCAGTCGGATCGCGTGTTTGCGCCGCGATTTCGAAAGGCTGTATGTTTTTCGTTCGTCTGGAAAAAGCGCGGTATCGATAAAATTCCAATTCGATGCTCGGTCCTCTGCGCTCCCGGCGATTCTTCTCTTATTTGCGCGATACGAGCTGCCTTCTATTTTACCCCCGAACACGTTTTTTCCGCCCCCCAACCCCCCCGCGTGAACCGAACCGCGTTCGAAACTAACGCGAACCGGGATTCTCGTAAAGCTTGTTTTTCGTCGATTCGTCGACGAGGTCTCGTGCTCTCTCGTTTCAAGCAGGTCGGAGCACGGGGCCGATATTCTGGATTCGACGCTGCGTGTGTCGGGTGATGAAATTAACGGACAAAAAAAAAAAAGAAAGAAACGGCATAGTAAAAGGGAACGAATTTTTAATAAGATTTCGTGCTGAATCGTTGGTTTACAAAAAACGAACGAAAAGTGGGAATTCGACTTCGGTGTTCTCGGTTCGCTCGTGGGTACAATCATGCACACAATTGTTCAACGTAACAAAGGATACGATGACGACTCGCTTCCTGCAGCGAGGACACTCGCGAATCGGAAACGATCGATACGTATGTTTACAGAAATAAATAATAATTGAGGAAAACATTGAAAAGAATGGTCAATGCTCATCGACGCAACGGATTAAATACATTTTTTTTGTTTTTTTTTACACGGAACAAGCGAATGGTGTCCTCGCGTCGAAACGAAAGGGAACAAATCAGCACGCAAACATCGTCCGCGTGTCGCTGCAAAGTATAACTCGGAAGCTAAATTTAAAACTCGGAACTTAAACCATAATTGAACGTAGGAAACATTCGCTAGCATTACACGATACACCCGTGCTGGGGTCAGATTTAAAAACGAGTAAATTGTCAATTGCTAAAACTGCCTGCGATAAAATACCAAGTTTCAACGACGCGTCTCTCGCAGTGAGATTAGTAAAAATTCCCGCGTTCGCGACGTGCGACGTTTCGTTCCTTTAAATCCGTACCCAGCAATAAAAATTACGCTACGCAAGAATATATAGTGGAAGGATACATAATACGATGTAAAAAGTGGTTGCAAAACGAAGTCAAGTGTTTAAAAGAAATATCGTGAGAAGAACTCGAAGAGAAAACATCGGGGAGGATTTGGGGGGGAAGAATAAAAATATCTGTACAAGCTAAATCTATCTAGGTGTGTGTATATAGCATATGTAAAAATAAAAACTAGTCGATTCGTGTACGTTCTCTCCCTTTCTCTCCTTAGCTAGGCGTCAGTACGCCGTCATATTGTCTTAAAAGAGAAGCGAACCTACGTTCTTTAGGAGCACATTGGCCTACGCCGATTCTTATCGTTCGCCGTCCTTTCCACTCTCTCGTACTCTCTCCCTTTCTTTCCGGCTCCCTATAATCCCCTTTCAACTCTTCGCTATTTGAATCCTTCGTAATTACGTGACGCGTACGGTCGCGCACGGTCGCTCGATAAGGCAAGATCAAGTAACAAGATCGAAGGACGCGCGGAACAAGATGCGAACGCTGGTAGAAAATCGTTCCGTTCTCGCGAGACCGTTTCACCGGTCACGCGTTCGATTCGTTCGCTCCCGAAGCTACGATTCCGTCACGAAAATCGCAAGCGAGCAGCACACGGTTGGCAAAATGGCCGTCCCGTCCGTGATACCGTCGGAAACCGCGCGTGGCGCTCAGCGTCGCATCTTCGCGCACCCGTCCTTCTCCCTCAACAGAAAAAAGAGAAAAATGTTCGAAAACCGGAAACTAGCGTTATTAATTATCGTAGGAACACCAACGAACATTATCTCCTTGTATGTGGCTCGGAGGTGCGCGCAAACAGCGCGTGTGTGAGTGTCGACGGGAGTGTGTGCGTATCGGTGGTAGTGGCGAGTGACGGTGTTGGTAGTTCTTGTTGCCCGGTGGCGTGTACCTTTGTTTTTCCTCGTCCTCTAACATACACTCTGCTTCGTTTCTCCTCTTTTTCCGTGTGTGTGTATCTGTCTGTCTGTGTGTGTGTGTTAGTGTGTTTTTTTTTTACTGTTTTTATTAAGTTCGTTACCATACTAGCTCGCACATTCCAAAAGTAACTTTAGACGCGCGGTCGTTTTTCATTCTCTCGGTCGGAATCAGAGTCCGCTGAATCGTGGAGTGGCGGAAATTCCGGCACCGCCTCGCGTTGTTGCATCCATCCCGCCGCGCCTGGCCCCCCAGCCAATGCCTTGCCCTGCGTCATTTTTTTCGATTTTTTTTTCAATTGATTTTTAGCCCTCTGTCTTTATCCCCTGCAGGTGGCGACAAAATAGCGTGTCATTGGTCGCTAAAGCCTCGCCTTCGTTTCAGAGCTTTTACGCACATTTTTTTTTCTCAGGACAGACAGATTTTCTTCGCGGACAACGCGCGATGTATATACGGTCTATATACACGTGTCGAGTCTAACGAAAGCGCGGGCTGTTTGAATTGGCCGCTCGTACCGGGACGTCGTTCCGCGGCGATAAAAACGCCGCGTCGACCGCCCGTTACGAGCATGAAAGGATTTCGTCGCTACATGATTCTAGCACGACAGATTCTAGCCGCGAATATGAACGGTGTCGGGATGATACTAAAAAATCCTTTCATACTAATCTGCCAATGCAACGAACCGGCGCCTATTCTCTACTCTCTACGCGGACAAATTTAGAACTCTGCACAACGAACTAAATAATGAAGTTTCTATCATCCGCTCTCGTTCATGCTCTCTCTCTCCCTTTCTCTCTCATTTTCTTTCGCCTCTTGTCTATTCACCCAGAAAACCCCCAGCCAATCGACCCGCAAAACAAAAATAAAAAGGTAATGATAAACGCACACACGTTACTACTGTGTAGAACCAGTATACACGTATAAACTTAAATTCTACGTGCAGCCATGCATGCCACGAAAATGATTCCAAGATTTATCCATCCGTAAACAGCTCTCCGATCTGCATAATTCTTTATGCGTCATGAATCTGTATTATGAACGTCTAGGTGTCAACGAGTGACTGTTTCGTGTCCGTGTACGTGTGTGTGTGTATGCGTGTACGTACGAGCGATTGTGTTGCAGTGTATTGCGAAACTATTTGTAAAAAGTACTCTAAGATTAAGTATCGAAAGCCATATGAGAGCGGCAAGAAACCGCATGGTGCGTTCTTCGAGGATGTATTTGCGTAGCACAGATAGCGTATAGATAGCCGTAACACGGAACAGGGATAGTATGCCCGTCCGATTGCATATTATTATGTACAACAAAGAGATACGGGGTTCCCTGTCCTTAAAATAATCGGATCTAACGGTGCCATCTCGTTCTTCTAAAACTCGCATCACAATGTTGCGTTACGATATGTTTCCAATGCGCTTCCTAGCGTTTCCAGGACTTCATAAGCTGCCTAAAACCCTTAAACACTGACTCGTTAACCCCTTCGCAATCATCGTTACCAGTCATACGCTTACACTCTTTTTAAATGAAATAAAATCCGACTCGTTTATTTTATTTTGTGTTCTCTTTTTCATTGTTTCCCGTCAGTCTGGAACGCGATCGACCGTGTGTTCGTCGGGTTTTAAAACTCGCTACCATTCGACTCTAATTGTAATCTACCTACGGAACGAGCTATCTAACGTTTCTCTCGCCTAAGAAAGGCCCGTTAAAGAAAATCTTATTGCACGCTCGGCGAGATCCAAGTCCTAGGCGGCGTGCACGAAGACGAGAAACATCGAGTAAAAATTCTCTAAAAAGGAATCCGATCGCTTCGAAAGAATACTTTCGATAGGCGCGCGTGCGACGGTTCTCGGCTTCGGGCGCGACGTTTAAACAAACGACACGATACGTGAGAAAGGCTCGAAATCGATGTTCCAAGTGTAACGAAACGTGTACGATATTATCTCTATATTTGTGTCTGTGTATATATTGCACTATCGACGAGTCCGAATCTCGAAAACCGGCCGATCCTCGTCGGGATTTCACGGCGATCGACGAAGGGAACAGAGACCTGTGCTTGTTGCAACGTGAGAGGACAACGTTCTGACCGGCTCGTCGATTTCTAATCTCGAACGCTCCCGTCCGCGACACTGTTTCTCAGACACACTTGCACGCATTCGAAAAGAATTCTAACGCGCGCACAAATCCTCGGTCACGTCGAACTCGGAGACGAGTCTATCATTGCGAGCATTGGTCGGCGTGGCGCGTCACTGCGAACACAAGAGAAAGCACTAAAGGCCGAGAGATCAGTGTACGCGCACCAGCCGTGGCTTTTGTCTTTTTTTTTATTTTTTTTTCATTCATTTACCCAGGTCTCGTGATTTCCATCCGACCGTCTTTCGTTCTCTCCTCGCTTCCCGTTCTCTGTTCACTTTGACATTCTTTAATTGCGTGTCTTTGCGTGAAGTCTGATTCGATGTCTCTCTCACTCTCTGTCGCCTTCTAAGAATTTCGTTTCATCTGCACCAAAGAGAAAAGAAAAAAAAGCTCAAGTGAATTGAAACGGGGCGACATGATTCAGCATCGACGTTCGAGAACAAAGAGCCGACCACCCGTCGAACCGTTCATCCCGCGAGACGCGTCCGGGATGCTGCGAAGGCTTGTTCGTACCGTTGCCCGTTTCCAGCGAAATTAAGTCGCGATCGATGAGGAGGAGGGAGGGGAACAAAACCACGAGACCGAGAGGAAACACGCCTCCGCGAACGAAACGGGTTTCCATTTAATTTCTTCTATCGCGGCTCGCCGGGGACCTCGAACCGTTCTTTCGTACAGTTCGCGACGAGTTCCGCGCGGGGATGGACGGTTCGTCGATTTAAATCGTGTTCCAGTCGAATCGTTAGGTGATGGAGAGTAGAAGAGACCAAGGAACAGACGACCAATCAATCGTATCACGGTATCATACAGGTGCCATACCGTGCGAACTGTGCTTGTAACAATGCTCTCGGAAGAGCGCGACCGTCAGTGCTTTTTTTGCGAATCGATCCTCTTTTCCGGGTCGTTTCACCTTCTCTCGAGGCACGAACTACGAGACTCGATCCCCCAGCCTGCGGAACCGCTCGAATATACGCCGGTGCACGGTTCAATTTCGAACCTGGCCCGCCGGAGTAGCGAACCTTACGGGCGAACAATGTTTTCTTCTCGCGAGAAATTCAACCGTGCACCCGCGAAACCGTCCGAATCTCGAGAGAAGCGGAATGGAACTCGACCGTCCGAAAACGTTTCGTGCAGAAACGGAGAAGAGAAATTTAGTCGATCGACCGAACAGCAAAACTCTATTTCGGAACAAGTTAATCGGTAAATGTCCCGGCTAAGCGTACGAAAAGCAGGTGCGATTGTCCGACAGCCGATTGCTCAAAATAATCGAAAAGAAGAGCGAAACGAAAAGTAGGAACAAAGCTCGCGATGCAACGATTACTTTTCAACTTTGATTCTTCCAACGTCGGTGGCCAAAAACTAAAAGGTTGGAAATCGTGCGAGCGTTGGACACGCGCCCCAATTTCTGTTGCAACAAACACAGTTCTTTTGCTTCTCGTTTTGTTAGACTCGGGGTAAATACCAACCATTAGCGATTAGAACGAGAAAAAAAAAAAAACAAAGGAACAAACGAAACCAGAGACAAGAGAGTAGTAACGGGAAAACGGATTATGGTCGGTCGAACGGGCGCCATGTTAAGCCGACCGATGTGTAAGAAGGGTCTTGGTGCTCATATAATTGTGTGCAAGCAATTGCTTTCTTGTTATGTATGCGATTACGGAAACGTTAGTGCCAGCTGTAGCAGCAAGAGCGTTCGTCATTACCAGCAGACCTATTCTCGTCTTTTCGTCGATCACATTTACCCCCGGTGCCTTCGAAAAATCTCGACGCAGAGGCGATATCGAACGGTAGAGAGCTCTCCGCTCGTTTCGGGGAGAGGTCGATCGTTGTTCGCGCGAATCGAGGAAATTCTCGGACGTTTTACGGGTAACGAGAAAGAAGTGAAGAATAGGCGAGTTTCGATGTAGCCGACCGAGGGCGAAGGCAGAAAACGAAACGAGTCGGAGAGACGATTCGAAAACGCGCACGGCTAGGTGGGAGCATGCATTTTAGTCGCTTCATTTCGACCCGGGTTTTCTCACCCCCGCTCCAGGGTCCGGGGAAAACCGTGGGCGAACCGGATGAACCGCGAAATTAATTTTCTTGCCAACTTCTCCGGCCTTTCCTCGCCCGATTCGAATTACAGGAAACGCAACGGTAACAAAGAAGATACGAACGCGGAGGAGCACAATAGGGGAAGATCGAGAAGAATGGCTCTGAACGCGGATTACTCGGGAGACAATGCTTGTTAGACGTTCTTTTCTCTCCCGGACAAAAGCGAAACTGCGAAGAATTGTTTAATTAAAACGCGAGGGCTCCGCGGCTCGATCAAACTGTGATTTTTTAATTCGATACGGCCGGCAGAGGCTAAAAAATATTATTTCGAAGCCGGTCAACGTTTTGTAACGAAGCGTATCGACAACCGTTCGGCAGTATCGACAAGAGGGACGGTTCGATCCGACGATCGGAAATATCTACAAATTTCCAAGCTACGCGAATAACCGACGCCGCGTGTTTGCGCGCGAATTTAATTCAACGTCACTCTTTATCGCGTGACATCGTCGAAATTGCATGTCAGAAAGATTTACTGGATTCGTGCTGCCGGACACCGTATTACATCGGGTTTGCCCCGCGCTTCCGCGGAAAATCTTTCCTCGAGAAATTTGCAACGATACCTTCGTTGTATTTAATTCGGGGCTGGATCGTGTTCGAGGGGGGGATGCTCGAATTAAGAAAATCACGGCGTGCCCGGGGTCGTCGGTCGGACACCCGGAAATTAGATCTTCGAAGATGCAAGTTCCGTTGCGTTTCACCGGGCCGAATTGAGGTAGCTCGTTAGAAGCATGGCCGCGAACGCGCGCGCGCGCGAGCACCTATCCGAGTCCATTAATATGTGAGAGAGCAGCCCTACCTAAAAAGTGACTTAGCAACTCCAATGCATACTAAGCAACCCTTATGCTACTGGCTGCTGCTGGCTCTGTGTGCGCCAACTTGACGCTCCTCCTCTTCTAACCCACCGGGGCGCCTCCTACCACCACTATCGGCTCCCTCTAAGCCCATCTTTATGGGCCAGCAACAGCGTATCCAACCCAACCCTATATATTCCAACAACACGCATCTACTTGCACCCAGAGACGCCGCTCGCCTATCCTTCCAAAGCACACACAACATCCACTCCTCTCCTTTCCGCTCGGCTCTACACAGAGTGCTCCAGACGCGGCATCGAAATCTTCGCCGGTCCAAAGTAGTTTACAGCAATTTCTAATTACGTCACCAAAGATTACACCGCGCGTAGGACTCGTGATCCCCCAACGGGGGACTTTGAATATCCTTCCTTACGAGCGCGAACCAGGGGTGCGCGAAACAGCCGCGTTCGAAAAGTTAAGTACAATTGTTTTTGTCTATTGGATAGCTCGCAATAGGGTAAAAACGATCCCGATAAACGTTTGAGGGACGAGTTGTCCGAAAACGCAAAGATTTATGTGCCCCTCCACTTGAAAAAATCGAGGGGTTGCACGCCCCTAGGTTGCAACAGTGAGTAATAGGCAAGGTTAACCCTAATAGTTCTTGAAAACTAGCTTGTAATGCTTCGGAGTGGACCGAATCGTTACATTTTTTGTTTGTAAACAATTGGAGGCTCGGATAGACTTCGTACACCCCTGCTGTAACTGGTATTCTACGTTATTTACCCTGTATAGGAGCTCGAGCGTGTCAAAGATCCAGCCATAGGCCTCCACCTCAACCCATTCGTTCCTTTCCTTCCGAACCTGTCTTTCTCTCTCGCTCTCTCGCTCTTTCTCTCCCTCGCAAGCTTTCATTCTCGCAATATGTGTGAATTATGCGGTGAGATGCACATGCGTTTACGGAGACACAATGCCGTGGCTTGAAAATGGATGGAAATCGAGAGTTGCAGCAGAGTTCTGTTACCGGGTGCGTAAAAAGTTGAATCGCTACTGTAAAACCCCGGCGGGAAACATCTTTTTCCATTCATTCGAGCCAAAGAATGTCCCTCGAACTCGGAGGGTAAGGGTAGGGGTGGCGTGAAGCATTATCAGGGTAATCTAGCACATGCTCAGAGAATGCAAGTGGGGTGCCGGCATCGAAGAAAGCGAGGCGATGATCGCTGACTACAGGGATAATTATTATTACGTGTTACGTGAAGGTTTGACAATTACCTGATGCATAGGATCGTAGCCCATGGAGCCGTCGTTGTACGGTTGCGAGCCATAGTCGCTACCGTTTATGCCCATTCCGTATCCGGCCATGTCTTGGGGCCCGCCGGGAGGCGCCGGGGACATCATCGGCGTCGGTGTGCCCTGGCTGGCGCCACCCATACTGTACGGCGACGCTCCTGCAAAAGCTGCTGTAGAAACAATCGCGGTGCATACAAAATTCGAGGGTGCGTCTTTTAAGTTCATCCGCCTGAGCGATACATTTTGTCTACGTTTAAGCGCGAGCTCGTTTCTAATTCGTCTGTGTGTTTTGTTCACTCGTTACGTAATCAGTGGCGCTGTTATGCGGTGCGGTAAAGCTGTTTTTCCTTGGAACCTGATTGTCGCTGGACGCAGCGGATCAAATTCTAGAAAAATTCCTCGATGGATGTCGATGGACGAACGCCACTGATTAATCAGACAGGCAAATGTATCGTTACGTTTACGTTTGACAAGAGATCGTGGATCCATCTACGGGTGAAAGCGAATGGCTGGTCTTTTTTCTTTTTTTCTTTTTTATCGTTAAAACGCGCGGTACCGAATTCTGTCCAAGCGACCGGAGTAATTAGTTCTCCGACGGTGGTAGTCGGGCAACGGTAATTAACTCTTGGACGACAGCGACGCGAGCAATTTTTATTTCGAAACGGAGAAAACGTACGCGTTGGCTTCCTGGCGCCCACCATCGCTGGAATTCCGTTTCTTTAATTACGGCCGAGGACTGCGGGGGCCCCGTTTACCGGAAGCGTGGCTGAGGAAAGACAAACACACGGAGGGCGTCGAAAGAAACGCGAGAACGCCGGCATCTCATCACACCCTCCCCCGACTTCCTCCCACTCATCTTTTCCTTCCCTCTTTCTCAGTCTAATTGGTAAGTTAAAAATATCTCGCCGTGCTCTCTAAAATAAAGAGACGCCTCGGTAGTTAAGGAAAGTGCGCGTAATTGCGACCAGCAAGTCCCGCGAATGCGAGGAATTTCCCCGGGAAAACCGCTCGGAATTTTTCTCCTAATTTTAGCGACAAGGTAAATACCACGGGCGAACCAAACGGAAAACGAATTATTATCGGAAGAGGTAGTTCGCGCTCGAACGTTTCCCGCGCGTTCTAAATTACCAATAACTTTTTTCCGAAAAGTAGCCAGGTATGGTTTTCCCGTTTCTATCTATGAGATTTATTAACGAGCCGCGATTACGTTGGCACGGCCAAGCCGAACAATGAACGGTAACTCAGTCGTATAATGATTTACAGTAATGAGAAACCGCCGGGGCAGCGCAATTTCTTCTCCATCCTAATTTCGACGCGTAAACGATCGCGACGGAAAAGGTGCCAGGAACTATTAGCGGTGGAAATTGCGTGAAACACGACGAACCTGCTCCTGCGGCCAATTACGCGTTATTTTCCTCAGCAACGCCCCGCGAATATCAACGTTCGCGATCGTACGTCAAGTCTTTCAGCCGTTCGGATTCGATTTAAAAAAGCTCTCAAACATAATTCTCGGTGTATCTTTTACTTTTCTAAGTTATCGAAACGAACTCTTCAAGGAACACCCGTCGCTCGTTTGCCGAAGGACGGAACTTACCAGCTGCCTTTTTGGCTGCGTACAAGTTCGCCTCCTCCTGTGCTTTACCTATGTTTTTCTTGTAGCGTATCCTCTTGTTGCCGAACCAATTGGAAACCTGAACCAAAACAACGATTCTTCTACTTATATTCTGCTTTTGTTTTTTTATGATAATATTGGGAATAACGAATCGACGATATCGAAGGGTCGAGGAGCTGCTCGAGGAGCGTAGCGGGAAATTATTTGAAACGGAAACGGGGGTGGTAACCGTGCAACTGTCGTTACTTAATTCCAACGAGGGCGTAAATTCTAGTTATGGCGGGAAAACGACGGGAGAATATTTCGTTGCGCTTTACCTGACTCACGGTGATGCCGCATTTTCGCGCGAGCTCTTCCTTGGCCTCTTCGCTCGGATAAGGATTACTGAGGTGCGAATAAAAGTATTCGTTCAGGATTTCCGAGGCCTGTTTGCTGAAGTTTCGTCTCTTACGCCTGCAACAAAAAACCATTTCCGGGCCTTTTTCACACCGAACACGACCCTGCGCGACGGTTTCCGTTCGGCGCCGCTCCGCCGTGAGAAAAATCCACGTCGAATTCGAGAGGAAATCGGAGGACGCGAACGATCGTAACGCGTCGAATACACACCTCGCGTCGAGGAATCTACTCCTGAGGATCATGACGGCCTCGCAGGTGGACTGTTTCAACTGCATCTGGATGCTCGAGAATTTCTTGTGAATGATCTGCACCATCCTCTCGATCTCCTTCGGCGTGATCGGCCTGGTACGGCTCTGTTCCCTCAGCAAATTCATCACGTGGGTCGTGAACTCGTTACACGCCTGAAACCAAAACGGAGATCCACTTCGAACACACGTTGTCGTTTCACCCTCCCTATCTCAGACCCTTTGTTATTCCGAAAAAAATTCGGTATCGAACAGGCCGCGGCGACGAATCGGATTACAAAGAGGGTGTCGGTACCGCCCGAAAATCGAAGTGAAAACTATCGTGGACGAAATCTATCGAAAAAGGGAAAACCATCGACTGGTCGGAGAGCTCGAAGAGGGAAACCGCGGAAGCCGGGAGAAGAGGGCGAACGAAAAAGAAAAGAAGGCCAGGGGGGGTGGAAGACCGAGAAGAAAGACGCGTACGTATAATGCATTATTCCTGGTGGCTGGTCGGTTTAAGGGAAAAAGGACTTTGCTCGATATCAGTATTCGAGGCGAGCACGCTACCTTCCGGAGGGAGCGAAGAAGAGGACGCGATGCACGGGAGAAAGAGGGCGGGAGTACGGGAAGCCGTGGGAGGGTGGATTTTCCTGAGGGAAGGCGCTAGAAGGAAGAGAGGTTGCCAGGGGAGAGAGAGGTCGGACAGGGTGGCTCGCAATTTCGAAATGGATTCCACTCTGCCGCCGTACCTCCAGCCACTCTCCTCGTCTTTCTTCCGTCCACCCTCTTTCTCGCCGTTCTCTTCTTCATTCTGTTCTCCTCTCTTCGCGCGAGCGTGTACCAACTCGCCGGGGGTGGATCAGCTTCGGTTGCTGCCTCGCTGCGAGCCGAGGGAGACGATCACGAGTAGGTGGATTGGATGGAAAACCCATAGAGAATTATGCCTCCGCCACCCACACCCCTGCGCCGGTGTTTTCTCCAATTTTTAAATTATCGCACGAACGAAAACGATACTTTGCCCGGGGCGCTAGCGAGAAGTATTCCAATTTAATATTAATACTAATATCAAGAGCTACGAAGTTATTATTTCGAAATACAAATTGCACGTATTTCGAAAAGGGGAAAGATGATCGCGAAAAATGATAAATAAGAATGACGGAATTAGCGTCGTTTGAAGCAGTAAGTTTTCGGATTTGCAGATCGATCGGTGGCGGAACCAGAGATATTAAAAATTTATTGTTCGGGTCGGACGCGTCTCTGGGAATTGCATCGCGCACGAAGGTCGAAAGTGAAGAAGTGGTGACGCGAGCCAACGTTAAAAATGATTTATAAAACGCGAGACGATCTCTGGGAAGGATAAGATGCGTATAAAATCCGAACGCGACGGAAGCGTAAAATTTCGAGCTGTCGATGACTGGTCCATGGACGAGGCAAACACAACAAGTGTCCCCGGTTGAAACGTGTTTTCCCTATGACGCCTCTAATTTTACTGCGGTTTGGTCTATTAATACGCGCGTATTTCCAGGGATACAAGAGGTTTCTGGCTCACGAACGTTATCGAAATTCCAACCTGCGCGCCGCTAAATATACCTGGCCGCGGTTACGATTGCCGTGGTTGTTCTGCGGTTACCGCAATACACGGCAGCCTCCTTTCTTACGCAATCGCGTTTAGCGTTAAGGACGATTTTCACGAACCGACTGGCCGCAATCGCGGCCGACCTACATCTTTGGCATCGTGTCAGATAATACGGCAACGCACGGTTCGATTTCGTCAACACTCGAGATACAGTCGAGACGTTGCTTCCCGTAATTTCGATACGTTTCTAAAAACGGTACCGACGAAACGAGTCCAAACACGACGCAGTTCGCGATCGAAACGTCACGCGTGGAGTGGGGGGCCGCGGAAATTTAACCGTGCAGTATCGTGTACGAAAATACGAGGATCGACGCGAGAGGAAAAGGAGTTAATTGTACGCGCGAGGCTCGGGAGGCTTAGGCGGTCGAAATCTGTAGCGAAAATCGGAGAAAATAAAAGCCGGGCGTGCACCGGTAAAATTCATGCCAGACGATGTTTGCTGGCGGTGATCACGCGATCTCGTAAAACTCGCTGCGCCGTTCTATTCTCGTACTTGTCACGCCATTTTGCATAGCCAGGCAGACGTTCACCCTAATGCAGTGACTCGGCCGGTCCGCGGAGTTTGAATAGTAAATTTCGGTTATGATAAAACTTTTGGCCGCGACGCGATATCAACCGTAATAACGTTACTTTTAAGCGCGGCGATATATCCAACGGCGGGAGACCCGAAACATTGTATTATCCGCGCTCGCCAAAACTGCGCCGGCCAAGCTCGGAACAACGTCGAGAACGATGCGTTCATTTAAATAACAATCGCGCCGCGATGCGGATGAAAACCAAGCGCGAGAGAAGGAAAAGAAAAAAAAACAGTTCTCGCGGAAAGAATTTCTGTTTTTTTTTTTTTTTTTTTGTTTTTTTTGTCGATGATAAATCCGATCCTGGATTAAACGAACGATGGGAGGGAAGGAGAATCGTGGAGCAGAAAATCAAAGGTCGTGCTCGCAGTTCCGCGGGCTCTTAGACGAGCAGGAGGGGAAAAAAAGAACGGGGTTAAAACTTGTTAATGGCCGGGTTTATCGATAGGGCGTCCACTACCCTTGGTAACTGCAGTCGCACAGGCGTATGCACGCGAGCGCATACATTTCTCGGCACGAGCTGCCTCCATATTGTTGCGCCTGGAAAGAATTCCACACGCATCCGCGTACACACACCCCGGGTGGACCTCAAAGCAAGGGTGTGCGTATTTACTGCGGGGAAACATCAAGACCGCTGACACACGGTGAAATATGGGGTCGAAACGGGTGTGGCAATTAAAGCACGGTTCCCTCTCTCTCTCTCTCTCTCTCCCTCTCTCGAATCGTTCGAGTTTGCTCTCGTGACTCTCGTGCGCGAGTGATTTGGTATTTACGTACGCGCGAATACACAAGTCGGCACGAATGGCAGGCCGCGGTTATTTCCAAAGTATGCAAAAGGGAGAAAACACGGAGAGGCGTTAAAAAGAATTATGCTTTTATCGTTGATAAGTGGAGTAGCGGCGAGCGCGGAGGCTTTTTGTTTAAACTGCGCACGCATATTAACGACCAGGAATTGAATTCGCGTTGCAAACGACGCCCCCGCGGCATCGCGAAACTCGATATGCCGAACAACCAACGATTTAAAAAACAACACATCCTACGCTGATCGATACTAGCGAATTTCGCGGGGAAAACCCTTCCATCCGTTCGGAAGTTATGATGTTTTAAACATACGCATGAAATTTTAGGGGAATCATTCATTCATGATCAGACATTATATCTTCGGTAATGAATTTTTTTCTCAAACGTGCGTAGGAATTCGAGGGTATGTCTATTCACCAAAAGTGATTGTAATTCGTTCAATTTTTTCTGGAATTGCGTCGAAGAGATTCCTGCTCGACACGCGAGATTTTACTTAGCGCGAGCGAGTCTGTTCATTAGAACAGAAATCGTCCAACAGGGAGGACCCTGGTACACCTAACTGGTCTCTTATCAGGCTGCTCGGGGGTAGAAAAAAGTTCGACGCGAAAACTGCATACAGGGGACCTTCGATTCCATTAGGTCCCGGTCGTCTGGATAACAGAATATAACGTTTCAACGAGGACTGATGCAGTTTTACGGACCTGTTCGTATTTCTCCAGCTCCTGATGGTAGATCTGCCTGATTTGAGCGAGCTTGGCTCTGTAGTCCGAATGTTCGATGGCGTTGTCAGGTTGTCCAGGTGGTCCGGCCGCTGCAGCCGCCGACGCTGATGCCGCCGCCCCCGCTCCGCCGCCCTTCTCCGGCCCGGCAACTCCCTCCGCGATCAACATGTTGTCCAACCTCATTAACTGCGGATCTGGCGGCTCCTCTTCCTGAGTGTTTCGTAACGAAATCACTGAAACAGCAAGAAATATGCACAAATTTTAACACTGCATTACGATTCTTCTAACGCAACCCTTACGACTACGGTCACGCGAAAATTATTACGCTCGCTATCGTGTCCTAAATTATAATCATTTGAAAAGACTCGGAAGTGTATCACACTTGAGAACGACTTTATTCCGCTTATCTCTCGGGAACGAAACAATGTTGATCCAAAGTACAACAAAACGACACTCGTCTGATAACCATCGGATTCGTGTATACATTAGTAAGCGTATGTAATCGTCTTAATATTGCTCGCAGTTATTGGAAAGTCTTGAATTTGTACGAAGCAAGGTCGTCGTTCGGAACGCTTATCGACTCTTTTGCGTACGATACGAATATTATATTTTCATTTATCTACGTTCGACGTTCATCGGACTTAATTTTCAGTCGGGGGCCGACGATAAATACGAGGCTCGCTGCTCAGCAATTTTACGGTTCGCGGGGTTCGCTGGTGACGATAAAATATGACCTATCACCGGGGAGGGTTACGAGAGGAGCCAGAGCGAGAGCCCGCTGAGTTATGTGCTTTGTTCGAGCGAGCTGCGGTCAGAAAAGTTTCGGAAACGCGCGCTGCTTCGGAGGACCAGATTCTCGAAGGGGTTGAACGGGACTCCGGGTCGACTTTTGAAAATGACATCGCGAATTTCGCTGAACTTTCGTACGACCGTCGAAGCGCCGTAAATGCGGCTCGTAAAAAATCGAGTTAACCAACGGGGCGGTTAACTTTATTATCGCGTCAATTTTTCTCGACGAGCGAGAAAGAACGCGGCGTTGCAGCGGGATGCGAAGGGGTAGCGCGCGTACTCGGGAAAGTCGCGCGTTTACCGATCGTAAAAGAATCAATTTTGCTGCCGGGATCTCCATCCCCCCCGTCCAGACCCTTTCCGTTCTCTTTGTCTTAAGGGCCGATGCACGCAGTGCTTTAGAACAGGGTGGTTTTCCGCGGTGTAACAGTGGTTTTATTGTACTTTTACGGCGCATGATGGAGCTGGACGACCCATAAAGTCGAACAGAGCGAGGGGGATCGACTCTCCTTTTCTTCCCTCCTCTCTCCTCGCCCTGTCGCCTCGTGTGTGACAGTTCTTCCAGAAAGATGCAACCCCGTCTTCGACAGTTTTCACCCCTCTCGCGTATAAAACCAACACGTGCACGCCCGAGCGAGCACACGAGGGGATCAACGGCTGCACCGGAAACTCGTGCAAACTGCCGCGAGATATACTTCCCCACGGATTACCGATTATTCTTCAGGCGATTCTCAAAACCGAGACGCTGTCTGTTTAGCGAAAATTCAAGATTTCGTACCGACATTATCGAAAGGAACCAATTACTTTCGTAATTACCGGCGCATATATGGCGATGTAACGTTTCGCCTCTACGAATCCCACGGTCGAATTAATTACGGCTCGCGGTTATTCGAGCCCGTAATTTAAATTCGTTAGTACTCTTTTTTTCTCGCTCCGTTCCACGGTTTCTCGGCGATGGGGGAGAAAAAAGTCTCCGGAGACGGTGAGGAAGGGGTTGAAAGTTCGCCGGGATTCGCGGGAGCGTGAAACGAATGCGCGGAACTAATGCATTTATACGAAGTGTAACAATTAGGGCCGCGGCGCCGCCGGGCGAAGGGGTTGGTGTTTGAAATTCCTCCCGGGGGCTCGAAAGGGCGAAGACACAAAGTCGATCACTGGGGAACCGTTTCTTTGAGAAAGATGTTACGCTAACTCAGAGCGTTCGTTTAATGAATCTTGCCTCTCGCGCGAAGGGACCCGTACCCGGGAACTTTTCCCTTCTTTCCTGATTTACAATTTTCGCGAGCCTCGCACCGAAAACGGCTTTCAATTTTACAGGAACCGAAGAGGGTTAACAGCAGTCAGAGGCGCGTCGTTAAAACTTGGTGCGAACTTGTTCGCGCTACCGTTGGCAATTAAAAATGAAAAACCTACGGAGACGGGGCGAAATAAAACGTAAGTTTACGGGCGAGGCCGTAAGGAGGAAGTTGTTCCATTGAAAGTTAAAGGCCCGTGAGCCATCGACGGTACTTTCCTTTATTCGTTAGGAGCTTCGAAACGTGGCCGTTTCATCCCCCTCCGTCGCCTGATCCACCGTCGAGAAACATGGAAATCGCGAAACGGTGGCGCGGAATTAAGAGCTCGGGCGAAATTATTTTCGGGTATCGAGCGAGAAGAAAGTAATCGGGGGTGGCTTACGGGCAATAATCTGGCCATTAAGGGGTGTAAGGGGAGGCCCTTGGTACCGCGTCGTCGAAGCACAGGGACTGCTAACCTCCTGCGGGGGTCCTTACAAGCACGTAAACTCAGTTTTACTAGCAGTTAACATTTTACGACTCAGACGGTCTGCCCCGGCTCTGTACACTCTGTTTCTCCGTCGCTCGTGCGCGTGGGAGTTGCAGCGCGTTCCTTCCTGTCTCTCCTTCTCTCACTCTTGTGCCTAGCCTGTTGTCGACCGGGCTACGCGTATTCGTCACAACACACAGATTCCGGCGTGAAACACTGGCTATACAAGCGTACGCGCCGCGGCGACAACGTAACGCGCGTCGTTTTCGAGGGTCGTTAGCGAGCGAACTACGTTAATATGACACCCCGTTGAAGATCAAGCTAATTGCCCGACTAATTCGCTGCTCCCGCTATTCTCCCGGGCATACGAGACAGAATTTCCGCCGTTTAGAAGAATCGCCCGGACCCTGTAGCCACGTATGTACGCGCTCCAGTCGCGATAAACACGAATTAAACATCGCGTTTCGTATTTCTTCGCGACTGATAGTCGACACGATGCGATCACGATTTCCAGGATTTTTTTTTGTAACGTTGAATAAATAAATAAATACGGATTCGTGGGTCGTAAAGCTTCGTCTCGTTTCGCCTGATTATCCACCTGCGTTCCCGCGAATAAACGGGGGCGACTGCGTGCACAGGGACGACGAGAAAATCGAAAATCCCTGGTCGAAACAACCCTTGGGATAATTTAGATTCGCAAAGCGGAGCGGAGGTATGGCAACAGCAGCGGCGGCAGCGAGAGCGGGCGGTGGAACGCCGCTGGTGTGTATTGATCTAAACGGGAACCCGTGAAAGCAATTAAGATAAGGCACGGTAACAAAGGGTTGTCGGCTGCTACCCGCTTTTCACCGTAGGAAAACAGAAAAGAGAGGAGGAAGGGGAAAATAGAAAGAGCCACGAACCAGATGGAAGCAGATACGCGACGGAGAAAGGTCTAAAGCCCGAATATCACCGAGGGGTTGGAAACCATATCGCCCGCGTTTTCCTACCGATTTAAATCCCCGGTTACCATTCCGACGGAACTATTCCCGACCCCCTAAATCATTCCCGGTCCTTCGTTTCTATACAAGACGAAGCTGCGTCGTTGGTACTTTTCGGTGCTCCAGATACGAGTAAAGTCCGATAAATCGAGAGGATGCCGCAGGTGTGTACACGACGCAACGTAACATTAACCGGGGAATAAGTTTAACCCTAACGATGCTAATTCGCGCTACCAAACTCGAGCTCGAATCTACAAATATTGGAGTTTGCGCGATTAATAAGATAGACCGGAGTGTTTTGGAGCAAAATTCACGCGCGCATTCCGAAGGAATACTTTGAGTCCTCGAAACGGCAAGATAATATTACGTTCGCTCCAGGTGGATCCTAATCCTGACCCAGTTCGAAGATCCTTTCAAACGCGTCTCGGTCGCCAGGCGAGGGAATCGATTCCCAAAATCCACTCAATTTTTTTCTCCGTCTCTCTTTCTCACCCTCGACCTTTTCCCAGCGTCGGCATGATACACGCGGACACGGTCCAGATGTAAGACGCAGGGAACGGAAGAGAATAGGAGAGGAAGGGAGCTCGAAATGGCTGCTCTTTTAATTCGAGGGTGAATCCTGACCGGGGGTGCGAAAGGGAAGCGGGCTAAAAGAAGACGGCGGAGAGTTACCCTCCGGGATCTGATATCGACACCGAGCTGTAAGAATATCCGGGGCCTCTTCTGATTTACGAAAGAAATCGAGACACGAAGAATTCCGCGTTGTTGATATCGTGTTTCGTCCCGTCACGAGCGCCGTTTCCGCTCGAGTGCTTTCAGAAAGGTCGCGTGTCAGGTATTATCGCATCGTCGGGACGGGGAAAAAATCGGAACCCGAGAAAGACAATCGTTCCGCGAGTCCTTGAGCCGTTTATCTTGCGTTCTCAACGACCAGAGTCTCGTTTCCTCCATTGTTTAAAGGAATCCCCTCCTTCGTAGATCGATATTGTAAAACGGTTCCGTCGCGATTCCTCTCCACAAGCATTATCGAACACTTTGGTATAGATCAGTATTCAAAACTGATTTAAAAATCTTATGCCGGTGAATATATGTTTTCGAATCGCAGAACGCGTCACACTTTGATTGCCACGCGCGTGTACCGGAACCGAGGCTCTCGCAGATCCGCCGCTTTTCCAGATTTCAATGTAATACTTTCAGGAGATATTCCCCGAGACTTTGTTTCCAAGGAACCTTTAAACGTCGTTGTTCAATTTCGTACGAACCCGTGCATCGATCGCGCGTAAAACGCCATGGAAGTTATAAATAAAAAGGAGCATTAATGCAACGGGGTCCAGGCAACGACGCGTGGTCGAAACCGGTTTTTAAAAATTGCATACCGCAAGCTGCATCGCGCGCGACGTTATAACGCCCGGCGATACGCAATCTCGAATTGCTCGACGTAATCCGCGCGCGAGCGGTTGCGCAAAAAACAAAAAAAAAAAAAGAAGGGAAAAAAAAAGGAGGGCCGCCAGAGTGAAATATTTATTTTAATCCGGCGGCCGTTACGCGTTATAACGCACGCGTTGGTTTCGTAGCGTGTAAAAGTTATCAGGCGGCGCGGAGTTCGGAATTTCTCTCCGCGGATAATAATAACGTTTCGGACGTCGCAGACGACGGGGTGCGCCCCGCTTCCGGTTTCGACGCCGTCGCTCCCGCCGAGC